TAGGCAGATCAAATATTGCAGTAGCCTGGGCTGACCCTGAAATCTGTGAATTTCCAGCACAGAAGGGCCATATGCAATYGAAGCAGCAATAAATGGCACATCTGGTTGACCGCCTGAGGACAAGGGAAAATTCCAGATCAGGGAATCAGAAGCACTTGCTCTGGCACAGGTACTTGCCGAAGGCCATTTAGGATGGAACACTGTGCCCATCACAAACCTGCTCTCACAGGCTTGTGTCCATTAACTGCCCATTCCACAGCCTCAGTTTTCTCTTTCATCACAAACAATAAAGAGAAACTCCGTATGCATACACCCTTGTACATACTTTTTAAAAAAGTGTTTTGGTTCTTCGCACAATGTCAGCTATTAAGGCGAACCCAGTAATTCCCATTGCACAATGAGGCAGACCTTTGGAGTGCTTGTTGCCTACAGTGGGTAATTAATTGGCACGTTTGTTTCAAGTAGGTTGAACCAATTAAAAAAATTTTCCAGCTTTAATAAACTGATACCCTRCTGCTCACTCCAGAACATCCCTTTTGAGAGGAAGCACTTTACATCGTCCTCCTATGTTGTTTTATGTCRGTGCCCCCAGCTACCAAGAAGCATGGAGCCAAAATGAAAATGCTGAAGTGCTTCCAGCATGAAGCTGCTCTTTTATGTAATTATGCCTGCTGCTAATAAGCCTTCCATTACAGCCATGGCACAGGTTTTGCTAATCCATTACAAATGATTGGTTGGAATTTAGAACACTGCTGAAAGCGTACCAGTTTTCACACTGAGTTCAAATTGTCAGATTTCAAACACTTTCACCCTTCATAAGTGATGAGGTTGGGCCACRTTATAACAGCTGTTACCTAAGGGAAATGTTGAACTTACCACTTGAACTCTCCTCAGGATTCACCTGCAAAGTACTTTACTGAAAATAAGAGATGGCTATGACCATTTCTGGTGTCAGTGTGAACTCCAAATGCAGACATCAGGTTCTAAAAATGGGCTTTGCTGCACAACTCCTGCCACTAGACAGCATTGCCTGTGGTGTGGCAGCTTGCCTGAACAGGTGAACTCATGGGTAATTCAGCCTGAAATTTCTGACAAATCTCCTATTAGAAAAACTAAAAGAAATTCTTATCAAAACTAAGACCATATGCAATACTTGAATTTTACTCCAAGATGCTTGATTTGTTCTTATATATTAGATAAAATCCACAGGGGCTTTACACTGGAAGTTAMAGAAAATATCTATTTTTGAAGTGCCTTTTATTTAAACATTGTCCTGTGACAGAGCCGTTATCCATGGACCACTCAGTTCCARAGCCATACTCAAAAGTATGCTGCAATTAGCCAGCTGAGAGCCTGCAAGACTAAAGAGAGAGGAGATTTGGCTAAAGCAAGTTCCTCATATATTTTTGGAAATTTTTTTTAATGCTATTTCAGCATTAAGRTATATAAATACATGAGTGGAGAAATGCAAGTGTCTACATTGGAACCATGGTCTGCATGTGTGTTGATGTCTTTGAAGCTTAGACAGCCAAGCACCTCACCTGACAGTGGACATGTTCTCACCAGCCCATGAAATGACACCTCTGCACCACGGCCTGCAAGGAGCTGATGTTCATTCAGTTGTTCACTCATCAGTCTCTGCTGCCCTCTCCAAAGCACTACAGCACCCCACAAAACCTGCCCTGGCAGCTCTCTGAGTGCCTCCCACACTYGCACCATATCCAGCCCAGCCCTGGGTGGGTGCTCCACATGACAGCACCCTGAGCAGCACAAAGACCTGAGAGTACAGAAGGGAGCACACAGCCCTAAATGCACTCAGAGTTTAGCAGCAGTGCAGARGCACAGCTCTCCTGCAGACCCATGCATTTGAGAGTTGTAACCTTAAACAGCATCCAACAGCTGGTGAACTGAAGGAGAGAAATTGGTTCTTCTTCTTTGAACAGTACCTTAAAAAAGAATCCAACAAAATACAGCAAAAACCTCTGCTAGAAATCATGTAGTCCATTTTTCTCTACAGGAATTTTTCTCCTTACCACCATCTCTACTTTGTACTGCTTTAAGCCGCAGCTAATTAATGAAATAGAAAATAAGAAAATTAAAATTAAAAAAAAAAAACAAAAAAACAAGGAGATGGCTCAGATTCAGTTGCACATCATGCCTCCACAATGCCAGGTGGAGAGAAAGGTCCAAGATAAGGACAAAGTTCTTTCTACAGCTCTTTTTACATCACAACTTTAGCATCATTTAGCAAACACAACCCATTTTATATGAGATTACAACCTCAGAAAGGACTTTCTAATGTGTGAGGCGCACTTCCACACTGCCATCTTGTGTCAATTACCAGGTTTGCTGAACTTGAGAGCACAGCATACTCCAAATACTTCAGTGAGGATCAAAGCAGACAAATACAACATTCAGAAGGCAGGTTCCTTTGCCTGTTCCCCTCCAAGGGAAGGAGGGGAAGAAGGAATTTTTGTTACTCATATATGCCAATATAATTAGCAAATGCAGTTTTGGAGGAGCCTCGTTTAAACCAGAACTTTAACAAGGTCGAAACTCAGCTTCAACTCTGCAAGAGTTTCAACTTCAGCTCTTTGAGGTCCACTAAACTCAAAATCACACTCATCTGCGCATGTAAGCTAATGACATAACCCAGATTTTTGCAGWCATTTTGTGGGAAAATGAAATTGGAACCTTCATGGAAATATTTCACTCCATTAGGGAGAAGCTATCCCGGCTCAGAGCACACCATTCTTGGCTGTGGGACRTGAGTCAGGCTGCATCCCAGACCACAGGTTGCTGAATTTTCTCTCCTTCCGTTTTTCACCACCAGCCAATTTGCATGCCCAAATGAKTCCCATGGACAGGGAAACGTGACTGTGCTCAAGATGCAAAAGACACCATTTCCATCCCTGCTTTTCTCACAGTTTTGCTATATAAAACAGTGCTGGGGAGGGGAAATCATGGATAGGCTAAGATAAAATCATTGGTTAGAGGTTGAGGAACTTTGACTCGTGACAAAAAAAAATTGTGTCTGTCAGTGTACTTCAGGACTGGTACTGAAAACTGTAGGTATCTGGAATTTGGGGGGCAGGAGGACAATGGTTCATTGATTCATTAGATGCTGTCAAACAATAAAAAAAAAATTACCATGTAGAGAGGTCACCATCTCCATCAGGTACGTGCCTTTACAGAGACAGAGCCCCTAARCTGATTTCCTGTTCTGACCAGCTCTCAGAAAAGCAAGCTTCTTCCACAAGCAGCAGAGAGGACTCAAGAGAGCTGTGTGAGCAGGCAGTGTGACTATCCCTGCATAATCTGTACTTGAGGATGAGGGTCTTCATATCCCAGTGCTTTCATCTGTGATCTACCATGTCATTACTTACCACAACAGTAAAAACCAAATTAAATATCTTTGCCAGTCTTTAACTGTATGCCAAAAGCCAAGGCCAAGTTTGGATGATGATACATTTTAGAATTTCATTACTTTTTTAAAGCAAAAATTTAAAATGTTTGCCACTTTATAATTCAGCAAGCAGCAATCAGCTACAAGCAGGAGAAATCACAGGAGGCCCACAMAGGTGAAGTTCTCCCACTACACCAAAACAGCATGATCTTCCCGTGTTGCTCCCAGCTATCACAGCCATAATCTCTTCTCCCAATCTGTGAGCTCTCCTACCCATCCCAAGATCCCATGAGAGCAGGGAGCACCCTAAGCTACYTGGCAGCCTCACTGCAGCTCTTCACGGTGCCATATACAAACTCATACTCAAGAGCCCTCCCACACCTCCCAGCTGTCCTCTTCCTCAGTTTTATCCACAAAATACTCCCCCAAATTCCTCTGATTCACAGCCCATGYTTTTTCACTGCTTCCAAGGATATGGACAGAAGTGTGCATAATGGGGCATGAAAGGATTTGGGGAAGCCACYGACCAAAGCAATTTGGAAGCCACCACTGAGAGACACACAATGCACATTCCAGCTGTGTTTTCACAAGGAGCAGAACCTAACCCAAAAATTCAGCACCTCATTTCTAGCAACAGCAGAGCAACTTTGGGGAACATCCACCTCTTTCAGCTGTGTKTCAAGAATGAGCAAAGAGCCTCACCACTTGTACTGAATGTTGAAGGGAAAGAGCACGAGGAGCTTGATGAGAGAGCTGTACACAAACTTTGACATCGACTACAGAGGAAAAGAGAAAAGCAAGAACTATTGTTCTTCCACATATTTAGGTGAACTACTTAATCCTTCCAGAACAAATATTTTTCCCAAGATGAAATGCAAACAATTTTATATTTCCACACATTACCTTAGACTTGTTTAGCTGAACAGAAAGGACAAAAACTTCTAATAAATGCAACATTGGATTTTTTATTTACAAATATGTGGTAATTCAACAACCGTTCTCCACTCAGTTTGCAGAGGAAAGAGTGATAGTTACATTTTCCAAATGGGAAAAGAAAACTCTCTCCCTTAAATGGATTCCACAGAATATTATGCCAACACCACTGAGCAAACAGATAATTCTTTGTATTTAGGTTTCAAAAAAGCACATAATTTTAGAAACCAGCATATGGAAAGCAAACACATTTGTGTGCATTTAAATGCAGCTTCATATTAACCTAGAGAATTCACTTTCAGTATATGTCAAAAATAAAGACAGCAATTGCAAATATATATTTATATTAGCAATTTCTCTAACGCTCATTTCAAGAGCTTAGAAACAAAATACCCTCTTCATAAACCATTGGAAAGTCAACTAGTTGATTATAAGCCTCAAAAATATTTTGAAGTTATTACTGAAAATATACTTATTCTCTCTTGTGCTCTCAGTACTTGAAGCTGAAAATGTGAAAGCATTTTTTTTCCCAGCTATTTCCTTACTGCAATTACTTTCTTATAAATAAAAATAGTTATATGAAGAATACAAGGTATTGCTATGGAGACTAGACAAGCAAGAGTTACTCTTAGAAAAAAAACACACATACACACAATATATATATTTATAGATCTACATCAGCAGCAATCACCTCTTCTTGTATCTGCAACAGTGGTTTTGTATCTTCACTTACTTCACATGGAGGTTGGTTGTCCAGCTGTTAGGGAGAGACAAAAGAAACTGTAAGTGAAGTCTAGTCACTAAAGAATCTTTGTGACAATAATTAAATTTTTAGAGTTTAAAAYAGTCAGCAAATAATATTTCCAATACTTATTGAAAATGGTAACACATACTAAGGTWTACATTCTGAATCGAGCAAACCAAATTTAATGAACAATACAAATTTGAATTGAATCCAATTATAGCACTGCAAATATTTCAGGCCAAGTAATATTCCACAGAACATGCACTTTACCAAGTTCTTAAGAATTACTTTCAGTATTAGCACAGAAACAGAGTGGCAGTTTTTCTAAATTTACCCTTCAATAATGAAATTTAAATTTGCAAAACGACTGTAACAATATAAATAACTTTTTTTTATCCTCTCCCTGAATATCTTTGTAGGTATCTGCCAATACAGTGGTGTTTCACTCAATGTTCCAAGTTTAAACCACAGAATTAACATAAAAATGTGCAAAAATATCACATCATAAAATTGCACATTAATATTAATAACCCTACAGTTTATCAAACCTTTTAGCCAACATGTTCACATTTCAAACAAACAAATAATTAGCCAGGTTGATGTCAAATGCCAACTGCAAAAAACAGTAATCTGCATCACAGGCCAGTGCTGTGCTGCCAATATATTTTCACTGCAGTAATTGCATAGCTGGTTTTTGTATAATTCAAATAGCTGATTTCAATTACTAATCACTAATTTGAATACTTTTTTCTGTACCTACAAGTTCTTACAACTCCTGATTTTACTTGTATCTCATACAATTATGTTTTGAGKTGCCCACTGGCCCAAGTAGATGCAGTCTGAAGGGAAGGGAATAGAAACGTTTCCTCACAGATCAGCTCTGCTTCTGAAAGGCACTGCTGTGACTTTATGGGCTGTAATGTCAAAGAGAGACTAAATAGCAATTSATCCATAAAAAAATTACTTATCCAACTCATCCAGCAATATTTCCCCCCAACAGAAAAGACAGAGATAAAAATAACATGAGCAAGCTCCAGAGTAAATCTCACACATTTGGGTGCTTCAAATAGGAACACAGACACTTCAGTGTAGTCTTGTCATCAACAAGGAGATACACTCTCCAAACATTAACTTAGGCATGGTATGAMCCAGTGCCCTGGATCACCTCCAGATGGAAGGGAGTGATTCTCTTCCTCCTTGCAGTGATCACATCCTTGCACTTAACATCAGCCTCTGTGAATGTGCTGTCACCCCCAAGAGGTGTTGTGCTTTCTGGTTTTAGTTCGAATACCACAGAATTGTTTCTGTGACTTCTCTTCATGGAAGTYGAAAGGAGCCTGAAAGCAGCAGCAGCAGCATCAGATGCAGAGCTTCTCTTTTCCCGAGCTGGGTTTCACAGCCAGCAGCTGCCCTGTTCCTGCTCAAACACTGTAGCATGAATATCCTGTTCTTTTCACTGCCTTCCAATCCACCATGAGAAAAATGTGCTGAGTTCATAAAGAAACACGGACATTTTTCCCAGGAAGTWATTCAGAAATTATTTCCCTTCCCTGATTTTTATCATCCTAGAGAATTCCATATTTGCTACATTAAAAAAAAAAAAAACGTATAAAACTCCTGACACTTATCAAAATTAGGAGTTGTCTACCATCATCTATGACAGCAGAAAAAAAGACCTAAATACCACTATACAAAGCCTTAGCATCATGCTCCAGTAAATCAGAATTCTGCAAACCATAAGAAGGAAAAAAAATATACTGCACCTTTTAATTAAGATCTGTAAGTAAACCAATTCCTCCTGTACTTGTACCTAAACGAATAACCAATTACAGACCTATAATTCCAATAATAATAGCATYGCAAAAAGAAACCAGCATTTGTGCCACCTGCACAAGATAAACTAATTATTTTCCAGGTATGCATTAGGACTGAATAAAATACGTATTTCAGCTTACTTTTAAAAAAATGTAGACACTTTTTCTAAAAGGCTTCTCTGTTATCAAGACAAGCCTGTTTAGCACCTGACAGCTCCTTGACACCACTTTCTCAGACCTATGAAGAGAGGAAGATGACTATACCAGATTGTGTGCTTGAAGCTGCGTAATAACAAGTTGCTACAATCAGCTACCAGGGAGTTAGGAAGTTAGGAATGACTACCCTACAAAAGACAGAAACTGGCAATCAAACCTTGCTGAACCYATTCACTAACTTAAAGCTAAACACGACAGCTATCAAGTGGCTCAGCTGYGCAAACACTTGAGCTTGTACAGCACAGAGAAGAACTACAGTCATTCACACTGCAGCTGGATTGCCTTACTTTTAAATCTGATATAGCAGTCGTTGCAGAAGAGTTTGTTGTTTCGGATCCTGACTTCAGCTCCAGAGCGGGATCCGCCAAGGTCGCATCCACAGGCAACGCACTGTATCACACATGAATAATTAGCAACTCCCTCCAAAATACTAAGAAACAAAAATGCTGTTCAAAAGCAGCTCAGATTAAGCTCAACAAAGCTTGAACCATAACCCCACAATCACTAGAAGCAAATGTGTAACGATTAGTAGATCAAAATGCAACCAACCCTGAGAAGGTATTTTCAGGTGACAACTGGACAATGAATAGCAGAGATACACCAAGTAAGCAAACATAAAGCAGATGGTTTTTAGAGATTAGTTCACTATATCGAATTTGAACTTTGGTTTCTCTGAAAACTAAAACTGTTTTGGCACAAAAGAATTTTTTTCTCTAGATGGCAACAGGAATTTTGGCACAGAACACCTGGGTGTGCTACTTGCAGATTTCCATGCGGCACTACATGCTGCTGATGTGCTCAGTCCATTGGCACTTGAAGCAGCAAATGCTCAGGCACTCCCAGTTTCCTGGGTTTGCATCATCGAAACAAGTTCTAATTTGGAGAGATGGGGCTGATTTAATTTTTCTTGCACAAACACAGAAGGGGYTTGACCACTGCAATGCTAGCATTAAACTATTTAGGTATGGTGGCTAAACATGTACTTGCTGTGAATATGAACCACATCTGGAAAGAATGCAATCCAAAACATTATACTCCCCTTACTGAGTTTACGAAGGACAGACAGTTTCCCTGTTTAACCAAGTAATTAATCTTTTGGATGGCAGTCTGTTCAACAGCTCATTAATTTTCAGAAATTTGGAAAACAGAAACTTGGCATTTTCTTTTGTAGGTTATGAGCTACAGGTGGATTCTCTCACACAGAATACATGTCCTGTACAAAAGAGAATGGCAGCTGATCACTATGGTTCAGTCCTGTCCCTCCTGCTCAGGTAGGCAGGACCAGGAAGAGCTTGGAGGTCAATCTCCAGTAATACTTCAGGTGATGCACTTGAGCTGGGCAGAGAAGACAAGTGTTCTGAACCAGGCACAGAYATCTCTTTCTTGAAGTCAGGAAAGAAGTAGGGGCCAACAGGACCTCCAAGTCATAATCTAATTCCTCATCTACTTTGAGGACAGGGGAACAGGACTGCTCTGCTGTCTTTTGCAGGCAGACATTTATTCTTTCAGCTCTGCAAATGCCCCTAGCTGATGGGAAATTATGTAATTAGGTCCAGGTCTCAGTGCTGGGCATGAGCTAGTATACTTAGTTTCTGACTAGGGCTGTGTAGCACAAAACACAGCTTTTGGTTTGGTTCTTGGTTTTATCCAGCCACACTGAACTCTTCCAACATGCCTTTACCTGGAAAACACCACATGAACACTGTCTGCCAAGGTTAGCTTAGAAAGGATGGATCATCCTGAATTATTCAATTGCCAGGGTCCAGGCTAAGATTTTATTCTGTTTTTAGAGGAGCTGCTTTGTCTGGAAGTAGTGGTTCAGCGTTTTCTGATATTGTGCCACCTATCTGAAAAAGGAACTCTTTGATCTCACAGCCAATGCATTCATCTTACTTATCAAAGTCCTATTTGTTAGGTCTGGCATTTAAGAAACAGTATTCTAGACTGAGTGCTGAATGMCTGCAAACGGGATTGCCTCATGGAAATATGCACGCACCACACTGTCAAGAGTAGAAGGCAAAGCAGGTGATTAGTAAGAACCCCTGTGAGCATAACACTGAGCAGCCATGCGTGCTCCTGATTAGTTCCTGTTCCTTCACAATGTGACTCCCAACTCTCACCTTAAAGCAATGTAAATGATAACAAAGACCAAGAGACTCAATGATCATGGCTGCTCCTTTGCCCAGAATGTTATTACAGTATGAACAGATTTTCTTCCCACTGACTGACCTAAATATAGAATGGAAAACCTTAAAACCAGCTTGAAAATGTTTAAAAGACAAAGAAGAGTTATCAAATACTTTCTGAGATTAAAAACAAAAAACACATGGTTAAAAACTGGACTATTAGGCTGCCTGGGGAAAATAAATTGAAAATTAATATTTGGAGTAGATCTCAAAGCTAGGGAAAACTGAAATGTTATAATTTAGATCAGATTTACATAGGAACAAGTTAAGAAATTCTGTCACGTTCTTGGCTCATATTTCATTGTATAAAACACCTTCTACAAATAAAAAGTGTACTGTTAAGTTTGGAGAGTAAAAACACAGGTTTTGTGCTCCTGCCTTCTTAGTTGTGGGGAACTATCCAGAAGGCTAAGTTTTAGCAAGCACCCCTTCCAAGTCCCACAATCTGCACCCTGTTAGATAAAAGAAGGCTAGTCTTGGACACAAAATACTATGTTAACTCTTTTGAGCATAAGCCATACGGAGGTCAGTTTCCATAGATCTACTGAGATGTTAGCAAATGGAAGTGAGAACAAGATAAGCAAATATGGTTAAGAAGGTAATTTTCTTACATTATAAAGAATGTAAAAGCCTAGATAAAAAAAAAATGGGGGGGGGGGGGTGTTGTCAATTTATCACTGAGTGCCTGAGAGTGTAAGAGCTAGTGAAGTAGTGTTCACTGTTGTAGTATGTAACATATGTAATCTGTGTGCGATGGTTCTCTGGAGTCCCACCCCAAGGTATTTTTAAAATGCTTCAAGTACATAAAACAGCAGAGTTATCTACCCTACCACAGCTGAATTCCACTTTTGTTTCAAAATATGTTGTAATTCTTGCTTTCTCCTCCTAGATTAAAATCAACATCCTACTCTGTAATTCTCCAGGGTCATGGGTTATGAGCATTCCTGAGTGTTCCTCAAGATGATATTGAACACATGCCAGGAAGTGGGGAGGAGAAACCAAGATGAGGGTCATAAAGCGTGGGTTTCAGGAATCTTTTGTTAAAACAAACCAAGGAAAATAAATGTCAGAAATGCCATCTGGAACAGGCTTTTGCTAATAATCATTTTGGTAACCAACACACAGCTCAGAGACCGCAGATTGATTATTCAAGTTCCTTTGTTTTTTTAACCAATGTCAAGCAATGATGACAAACCTGGGGAATTTTCTGAGTGACTGCAGTAGGGAGGTAATACCAGCCCATAYTTCCATTGTCCCCTCCGGCCAGAAAACTCCACGTACTTATTAATGRATGTTACGGGCAAGAGCACTGCTGGTAAGCCCAGCATACACACAGAGTCTGCTCTCTAGTGCTGCCCAACAATTGTACCTCCCTGGCAGAAGGGCACCCACTGACCTGCTGCGTGTCTGGGACCCTGACTGGGAGGCAGAGCTGGGAGGCTGAGCCTGGGGAGCTGTCTGGGACACGGAGGGCGCTCTGGMAGAGGTGGCCACTGGAGATGCTTTGCTGGAGGAAGGAGCACACATGTAGGCTCGGTTTGAAGTGGAYACCGGGCGACCAAAATCTTGACTAGAAGATAGAGATGAAGAGGATGTAGACTGGTTCAGCCATGAGTGGTGCCTCCATGAGCTCATTCTTGAAGAATCGAGRTTGTCCAAAGACTCCCCTCTGTAACAGAGATATAAGCACCTCAAATGTAAATGGCAGTACAGATGGGCAACAGAGCTACATTCTGGTTTTTTTTTTTTTTAAGAGAAAGCCATTGTCCTCACATTTTTAATATTTTCTAGGATGAATATGTTTGTTTGATCACTGTGAGAAATATTCTTCGTGTACTGATTTAAAATGTATGAGTAGCAAATTATCCTTTGTGTCCAGCCTTAGTTCTCATGGGAAAAAGCAGGMGAGGCAAAAGAGGTGGCACTTAACAACTACTTAATAAAAGCAAAACACCCTTCACTGCAGCCTTATCAGGGTGAACTGTATCAAAATCCACAGCACAGCAACAGACCTCAGATACCAGGTTTGTTTATGCTTTCTCCAAGGGATACTAGATCAAAAATAACAATCCACCCAGACTGGATAGCATCACCCAGGTACAAGGTGTTGGCCCAATAATCAAACACTCTCCTGACTGATAACAGGGCTGTTTCCTAAGTGACAAATCCAACATTCATACATTAAATAAAGCAAAAACAAACCATCCAAACTTTCTGACATATTTCTATGTTAAAAAAGGTACCAATAATAATTCATAAATAATAAAGGTAGCAATAATTAATTTCCAAAATAGGTTGCCATGCTGAAATTCTTAAACACATCTGTCAAGGACAAGGCACAATATTGATTCCCATTGCTGCTATACCAASCAAGAACTAAGCAGCTGAGTTATTTACAGTTCACGTCCACATTCCTTACTTGAAAAAAAACCCATTTAATCCCAGCTGTAATACAGCTACTTTCTTCTATCTGTGCTGCTATGCAGTTTACCTTACAGCATTCCACAGACTCAATTTGTTTCTGTACTCTGTAATACAATCTGATGTTCAGAATAACCAAACAAAAATATTTGATGAGAGACAGAGTTAATTTTTAATGTGATTCCTACCTCCTCATRCTGCTGTACAGACTAACGGGCTCCTTATGTATACTGGAACTGCGCTGCCTAATCCAGCTGCTGTCTGTGTGTAGAGACGTTTTCTTTCTCATTTCCTGAAGGATTTGCTGTCTCTCCAGCTCTGCTGCAGACAGGTTTTGCTCCTTCTGAGATTTCTTCTGTGACTCACYCACGTTCCAGGACCTCTCTGAATTCTTGCTCTGGGTACCTGTGCAGACAACATGWGCAAACTTCAGCTAGATATCTCAAGGCACAAAAGCAGTTACCCTCCTGTCAGCACTCTGGCTATAATTCCAAGAACTATTTTTCATCACTCCATTCACAAGTTATTCCAGTTCCCTTTTACAGCTGGGTAAAACTTGTCAGTACATCATTACTAAATTTTTTTTTATTTGTATTTCCATTAATGTGACCTTTTACACAATGTTTAATTTAAATACGTTTTCCTTCACTTCCTAAGGGTTTATGCACAGTCATTTTTGTGTACACACCCYCCTTTTTAAAAGGGCATGACCTCTTATTGCCAGAATTTGGACTCTTCCTCCAGTACGAACTGACCCATCTGAAAAACCACATATTTAAATAATGGGATATTTTCTTTCTCTTTAAAAGTTCATGCTCTTTTCTTCTGTAGGTTGTCTGTGTTTACAAGAATTTCTTTCTTACTTTCTTCAAGGCAATAAACAGACTGCTTTATATTGCTTTATATAGATATGAAATGGAGAGGGAAATCTTTCAGATAATTTGTTATTTGGATGATGCATTAACCAMTGACTTGAAATAAAATTTATAGTTGGGATGGTCTTTGAAAATTTGGAAGYGGAAACAAATAAGCAATCTTTCCCCAAGAGGTGTTGACATATCAGAAAGYAACAATTTTTTWWTTYYT